TGATTTGTCAATTATGACATCGCGACTGTCATCGACAATTTCAACGCAAAAGTTAGTGCTACAAGACCAAGTGTCTGCTTGAAATCTGTATGGCGAAGGACAGCGACTGACGTTATTTAACCTTCAATGCGACTTTTAATTGTAGGTGCGATGAAGCGTTGCTCCGTGGTTCAGAGGTGAAACCCTCAAACAAGAGGTACTCTGTCAAAGGTGACTGAGGAACACTCTGAGGAGCGCGAGCCTCTTGCCTCCTAGAACTATCACTGCCACCCAGGATAGCCAGAGTAAAGGACGAATCTGTTCAAGATGCCTGACAAGCGTAAGCAGTAGCGAAAACCATTTGTCAAGATCAAGAGTAATAGAAAGCACAAATAAAATGACCCCCCCCAGTCCCTAGTCCTCTACGTGCAGCTTGAGTGAAACTAAGGCGAACTATAGCGCAACAGTGACCGTGATAAATGGGCTTCAGCAGTGATGAATTACAAAGATCTGCAAGAACTCAGTTGGAAGACCACTGCTTAGATGGGGCGATAAAAGAAAACCGAGCAATGTAAACTTTTGGCAACAACTCTTTTGATACATACGAGTATAGTCATCCAAATAGGCAGTCGCGATCCCCATAAATTGCGAATAAGCAGCAGACAAAAATGTCAAGGATACCTTGATCAGTTTGTGACATCACAGGTTTCTTGTTCAGCAGCAGATTGCGCAAGTAGTTACCGTTCTGTTTGAAGACCAAGAGAGCACTCACCTAAACGCTCAATATGCTGTGTTCTGATTGTCGAAATTCTCGCTTCCAATTGTCTTGGTAAAACGTTGCCTACCACAGAATATTGGCTACAGTGACCGTTGGTACGTGATGTCTGACTTTGGGTCACTCGACCTTTCCGAGGTTGATAATGTTGTATCAGTCTGTGAAATGGAAGCAAGAGACTACACGCAACGCTTGCAACATGGCTGCGGACTCTGCCGTAAAAAAGAAGGCACTCCTTGTTGATGGCATAGAAACGGAGATCATCACCCCGATCAACTTGATAATGGTGTCAAAATGATCCAGTCATGAAAGGACTTGATGACAGGAAGACTGACATTCCAACGGTGACAAACTTTCCTTTTCCTTATACTCATGTCTGATATGGTAGTTCCACAAACGTCTCGCAGCTTTCCTTTGTCATAATGAGTGAATGTTCCAACATGCAAAACGGAACTTGCTTTACTTGGTGTTAAGCGATGTTTGCGCAAGTTTTTTTGTTCAACGATGTTTCATCAATTTCGAAAAGGAACCTCTGAAAATCTAATAGTTGGTCTGAATTTTGAGTACATACATGAAGTTTGGAATGCCAAGAACTTTAGTGGTGTAATCGTTCGATGATGGCAATAAAGGAAAAGTTTAGAGAAGCAGTTACTTGGCGACTTCGCTTAAATCTTGCAGGTTTTGAAATGCGGTGCTTCTGCTCTGGCAAAACCTCATTCTACCCTCCGATTGAAGGGTGATGTTACCTAATGGCAATGTTTGTAATTGTCTTGTTTATTCGATTTTGATAAGGTTTAAACGACTAGTTAGGTCAGTACATCGTTCAATGATGCAAACAGTGTTTTGATGTAGAATAACATAATATCAGTTTATTCTGGAAGAAATTCATGGAAAAACGGTATTTCCCATCAAAGTCAGATGGTGGAAGTCTAGTCGATGATTCGTTTCTGCGAAGCACGTTAAAGTGATGCTGCTATCCTTTGCTTACCAAGCATCATTCTTGAATATGCGTTGTGTTTATAAATATAAGCAGGTGTTTCCTTTCTTGAGTTAGTTGATAAATCTTTAGTCTGATGGCGATCAAAAACGTTCAGAAGACTAACAAGATATGCATTCTTGATTTGGAACTTAAAGGAGTGAAATCTGTTATGAAGACGAACCTTCAGGCTCGGTTTGTGCTGATCAAGCCGCCCAGCTTAGACGTTCTGGTATATGAACGAGATATGCTCAGTTTTCTGCAGTATAACGGATCGAATTTAGGAACAACGTCTGCGCGATCGTGGCACTGAGACGACCCAGTCGCTTTCGAGACGACTTGAGCGTGCTGCCCGGGACATCGAAGAAGGTGTGTCGTTGGTTATCGTCTTAATGAACTAACTGTCCGTTTCAGCTTCCGTACAGCAGCTGTTCGACTGCATCATCGTGAACGATGACCTACAAGTAGCCTATGCACAACTGACTGAATTTCTGAAACAGGTATTTGCTGTAGATTGTAAATTCACGCCGTGGTTAAATTTGTACCCGTATCTTTACAGTCTTGAAAACCACTTAAATACTTGCTCGTACCTTCCATATTTCAACATATTGTGCATCTGTTTGCTGCCAGAAGATTTTCGGAACCATTTGACAAGCGACAGTCTCTGAGAGAAGTTAAGGGTGGTGCTTATTCTCAGTTTTGGTTCTAGTCAGTGTCTGTATATTTACTGATAACAGTATTTTCGATGCTGCTGCGATCAATTTGTCATACGATCAGACACAGTGAGTCAGTTTGCGTCAGTGAACTGCTCGTCCTATAGCACAGTTGGAATTTTGGCCTGCTTAGGAGACTCCCTGGGTCGTAGAAACGAAGGCTCGCTGCAACTGTGACTGTAAATTTGGATTAGTGACACTTATTTGCTGTTTCGCCGGTAGTATTGAATATTAGTTTTTTTCCAGTTATACTCAGATTGTATCTAGTTAATATTTACATATTTAATTACGACTGAAGGCAATTTTTGCTTTTTGCTTTGATCATCTTGTTCCTTAGACTAATACAGTGATATGATTTTGCATCGTATGCACTACAGGTACGATGCTGAGGTGGAGCTGTGATCGGTTGAAGGGGTCTTTCTAGCCACCGATCATGGCTAGAATTCCGGATGAGTGACGCGTACTAGCTGTTTGCTAGAGTTTCTTTTATCTGTATTAAGTTTTGATGTCGCTCAGGAATTGGAGGAATACAGACATGCGACGGGAAATGAAAACTGACGCTGTTTCTCGTTTATCGGATGGCTGTAGTTTCAAACGATAGAAAGGGTAATAAGGTAACTGCTTTTTATACTTTCTTCTCACGTTATGTTTTTAAGGTGTTGCGCACCTCATGACTGTGCGTGGTGTGGTGTTGTTGCTGAAAAGAAACTTAGAAGAGTCCTCGTCCAAAATCCCTCTGGTAGTCCTAGCTCAGATCAATGATTTTCACTGGATAGCGGCTGTTTTCACAAGCCCTGAAATCATTTGTTTTCGATTTTTTCGTCTTGTTTTGAAGTATTGTTGATCGTGCTTTAAGCGTAATGTGATAGGTTTCCCTTTTGGCCATTCTTCGTTTGTGTCAAAGCTAGTGGCGACTTTGAAATAAAGTAAGGAGAGTGTTCCTCGCAAACTAAAGTAGGCGTTGAAGAATTTCCAGATTTCGCGTTACTACAAATTTATGTGTGCTAAATCTTTAGGAAATTTGTACGGATTGAGATACGTCAGAAAATGTCGAACATGTCTTCGGTAGATCATAACATGAAATGTTAGTAGTGTAATATGTTAAAGCCTAACCTGCTTAAAGGATCGCCTTCTCCGCTAGAAACGGTTAGAGTGGTGCAATTACACCGTTTGAATTCGGGAATGAGACTCCTATATGCTGTGCTAATTAGCTGTATCAGAAAACTAGTTTTTTTTTTATCAAACAGAATACCTTCGCCTGGAACAGAGGAAAATAACTTATTGCCCTGACTGTTTGAGACAAAGCGTGTTGAAAATGTTTTAAAGTACAGCGAAAGCAGCCGAAATTTCTCCTTCACGGAGGTTAACATCCCACTGTTAATCCTATTGACCAACATTAAACTAAGTTTCACATTTAGAAAACGGTAAAATTTTGCAGTGTTAGTTAAACAGTAGCTGAATATCTCCTTAACACATAAAATGGCATCTTTGATGAAAGTGAAAGAATAGCTGTCTTCTGGCACAGTTGTTCTGAAACCGCGAGTGATTACAAAGTATCTGTCAAAGACAGTACCAGCTGTAATTCAGAAGAAATAGAATTTACTGTAACCTCGAACTCTAGTATTGAACTTCTGCATTTGAAAGTGAGTACGAATTTTAGTCGCAATTGAACGATCGTCTGTCTCTTGGATCTTTTCGTGCTATCGACAAAATGTATGGCCTGAAAATGGGAGACGCATGCAATGGCAGTAAATCTGTTTGCCATTCTACAATTAAGTTAATCTTTGTTTACTTACGATTTTTAATTGTTCATAGAAAGATAATCACGGAAGCGAGCCCTTGTTTGGTGTCTATTACCAGTCTTGATAATGAAATCCGCTTGCTTACGCTGGAATTACGCTTTTACGGCATATTGTGAAACGTGTGACTACTGAATAAATCTGCCTTGTTTCTCAGCCAGCTTTTGTAATAGAAATAGAACAAGGAACACATACCAGTTTACATAATCCGTTTCAATCTGACATAGCGACTTGTTTTCTCCCGGGTAATGTGATGTATTCATCGTAGCAACATGGAAACTTGTAATCGATGTTTATGTACGCCTTACCATGAGAGCGTGTACTATTTACAGTATATTCATACGATCTGTCGTCAGGCGGAGCAAATGTGTTTTGAACCAAGACGAAAATTTTGCTTTATATTCAAAGCCATCTATTCCTTCTGGGTCACGAAGGCTACGTGGTTTAGATCCTGAGGCATGAAAACACCATATCTTGTACATAATCTAGCCAGATCAGATCTTGTCCGTCGACTGCCTCAAATTCACTTTTCACGTAGCATTCTATACTGAGTATACTAGGAGTGTAAGTCCTGTGGTATTTTCATCACATGTCCAATCCACCACACTACCCAACGCTGATGTCGAGCCTCACTATGACAGCAGTTTATTGAAAAGAGATTGTTTTTAGCGCTTGCTTCCGAGATTGCACTCTTTCGTTTAATATTCTGCTCTCCTGACGATTGGCACTCATTACGAGTTCATATCGATTTGATGACAGATCGATTCATACCGCTGCTCAGCCTCTCTTTCGTCATCAGAGATGGGTTAGTATATTTTCACGTTCAAAGTCAACAATTTATATCTTTTTCCTCTACGAAGAAGGGTAAAAATTGAAACGAGAAATAAACTTGCTTGCCTTGCTTTCTTGGCAAGGATGGGACTGAACATTTTAAATTTCAAATTGTCTCTACTACAAAACGGTTGTCACAAAGCTGAGTCACAATTTGCTTTGATGGATCTATTTATAGTTTTTGACTTTCAGGTTTCATGTTTCGGTAATGCAACATGCCTATTTAATTATCCAGCGAGACTTACTCAAAGTAACGACGCATTTAAATCTATAAACGTTTTCTGTCACTATTTACACTATGAACTATGTCACTCGGTAACGTTAAGCGCTGTAGTCATTTGTACATATTTAGATAATTGGTTGAATACGCCATTGCTTCAATGGATGGGAACTGTTACGACTATGGTACTTTGTTAACACGATCTCAGTATCTCATGGAATCATGGTTCAGCGCTCGTGATTAAACTTTTTAAGTTTCTGTCACAATCGCTCTCCAAAATTACATCCTAGCAAGCCTCTAATGTCGAATAGTCAGCGATCAATGACACCTCAGAACTCTTTATGCAATTTCAGTTCGTCTTAATGAATAATATGTCTACAAGTCAGATGGACAGCTGAGGCAATAGTTCTGTCGATCCTGAAGGAAGTGCGGTAAAGATTAGTCATATGATCCTTACCACAGGAATGGATGATGGGGACTGCTGGAGGAGAGGAACGAAAGAATCAGACGTCGTCTAACGGATGATATACGTGAATGGAGAGAAAATGACGACATCAAGTACGAAACGAAAAATTCGAGAAATAATTTACTGTAGAAACTGAAGAGATCCCTTAATACATGCGTGGAAGAACAGAGTCATCATCAAATGCCTTTGAGCCAGATAATCAGCCTAAAAAGGCGAAAGCCATATAACCCGTCTTGAGGAAGTAAGGGGAGGATAAACAGCAGAAGCACTTGTATTCTGTCTCAGTTGGTGTAACAGCTTTAAGCACCGCCGCAGTAACCTGCCGATGCGACGAGTGACGACGACTATTCAGCCCATGAAATTTCACCTAACTCAGAACAATTAGCCAGGAATAATACCTCAGAGTTTTGCCCACCAATGTAACGGATTTATGGCTCCATGGTAACCCAGAGAACTCGTTTCCGTTCCTAGTGCATCTTCTGTTGAAGTAGTGTTAGTGTACCTTCCTCCAAACACAACGTTTTTTGTTCAACCGATGCATCGTTAAGGAACTGATGGCAAAACCAACAGTAAATTAAAGACTTCCGGAAACTTTTCAATATTATGAACGCCATCTGGAATGTCAGCGCAGCTTATGGCGACTTGTTCTGTCACTTTTGAAAAATTTATGGACAAGGGTTTGGCCTTATGCTTGTCATAATTTCAAAAATGTATAAGAAACTGCGAACGTTAATGATGCCACCAATCTTGTCGATTGATGGTGGATCGCTGATTCTAAAACGTGCAGTATTTGCTGGAATCGAATCAGAGGAAGTAGACTAGACTAATTAGAATAGAAAAAAGCGCAATTATACGCCAATGTTTGGACAAAGTATAATATCACGATTTTGGGAATACGTCTCCATCAATAATATACGAATTGAACCGCACATAACACTGATTTGATTCGGTTAGACCTCTTGTTTTCAAAGACTTATTATTCACGTTAAACCATGTATGACTTTATTTTAGAAATGCTTAATATACAAATCAAGTTTAAAGTTTGTGTGGTACAGAATCAATCGACACTATTCAATAAACATGCGAAATGGTTTTGGAATAACGCTTGATTGGTCTTGTGTTCATCCGTCTTTGACGTTTATTGATTGAAGCCCATTTTGCCAAAGCGTTATTTTCGAAGGCACAAGTTTTCATTTTCTAATGACTCTGCCTCCTAGCATAAAACTGAAAATTATTTTTCCGTTAAAGTTAATAGCGGTACACTGG